CGACACTTTTCTTGGTAGACTGTCTTAGTCTGGAAACTCCCCTGAAACCTGTCCACAATGGGTGACCTTGCTGGTATTTGAAATACTGGTGGTATAGCTTCCAGCATCACAGCAACATGTAAGCCACCACGGTATGACAAACTGGCAGACAGGTGGTGGATGTCTCTTCTTACATTTGTCCAAATTAGGAAGATTATAAGTGTCTAAAAAGTCTATAGCTTGGGGGATATATCTCATAAAGCTATATCCATCGCAAACACTTCATCCCTGAAAAGCATTTGGATACATGCCTAGAAATGGTCTCTGAGGCACGCTTGCTTGTTGTCATCCTGGTAGTTTATTTAAATTGATGACTAGTGCTTCGTTTAGTGAGAGGTTCCAAGCTTTAATTTCAGTCAGTAGAACCTGAGGGATTGAAATCAATGTTTTCCAGATTGCTGAGAAAATTGCTTTTCCGAAAGGGTGTAGATGATAGAACACCAAACCCACAGCAGCATTAGAATAAAGTGCCTGTTCTCATAAACCCCTTGAAGATATGGGCTGGTTTTCCCACATCAAAGTGAAATGCTGCAGTGACTACCTATAAGGAGCTTTTGGTTGTTGTTTGTGATTTGTTTCAAAGGGTTATTTGTAGTGTTTATATTTGGAACCTAACTCATAAGGTGCCCATATGGTATTCTGGAAGAGAAGTTTACATAGAGGATTTAGATAGATGAAGATACAAGCACTTTCTAAAAAATAAAAGGCAAAATCCTTCATTTCTCATAAAGAGGATATTTTTTATTTGAGTTCCCAAAGCGTCCAACTTGAAAAGGACTTGACATGAAAATATTGATGAAAATGTTGAGCTATTACTAAATTACATGCATTTTGCTATATGTTTTCTCTTGAAATTTTCGAATTTAGTTGCTATTCTAAGCTGAATATTAAATTCATTGCCTTCCCTTTGAAATCCCAGCTCTGGGGAAGGCTGCTAGCACTGCTGATATTGATGTTTTGCACTAATACAACATATGGCTTGTTTGTTTCCTTGTGTGGAATCAGTTGGATGAGAAAGAAATGATTTAAAAATGGACAGTTTTCCATCTCTTGCTGTCATGGCTTATTTATTATTTTTTAATAAATTTTTTTAAAATATCTGGCTCCTGCATCCAATTGTAACTACCATAGCAATTATAAAACTAATTGAGATGTTTTCTTTATAATGCATTATCTGCCATTTGAAATAAATCTTTCTCTTCTCTGAGTAATTATGAGTGGACTATATAGAGTTATTTTGAAGCCACAAAATAGATTGAAAAGTCTGTTTACTGAAAATACAATCCATTAAAAAAATTTTACACATGCTTTTAAAAATTGTTTATAACATTTTTTCATAACTGGAGTATTACACTCTCAATAAAACTCAAGCTTTGGAACCAGACACACTGTCTTAGTCATTTAGTGCTGCTATAACAGAAATACCACAAGCGGATGGCTTTAACAAAGAGAAATTTATTTTCTCACAATCTAGTAGGCTAGAAGTCCAAATTTAGGGCATCAGCTCCAGGGGAAGGCTTTCTCTCTCTGTCAACCTTCTCATAATCTTCCCCCGGACTAGGAGCTTCTCCACACAGGGACCTGGGGTCCAAAGGATGCACTCTGCTCCTGGCACTGCTTTCTTGGTGGTATGAGGTCCCCCACTCTCAGCTTGCTTCCCTATCCTTTTATCTCTTGTAAGATAAAAGGTGGTGCAGTCCACACCACAGGGAAACTCGCTTTACATTGGCTCAGGGATGTGACCTTAGTAACAGTGTCACAATCCCACTCTAAATCTCTTTAACTTAAAATTACAGTCACAAAATGGAGGACAGCCACACAATACTGGGAATCATGGCCCAGCCAAATTGATACACACATTTTGGGGGGGACATAATTCAATCCATGACACACACCTAGGTCTGGATGTCTGCTTTTGGTCTGGCTAGCTCTTTAACTTTGGAGAAATCACTTAACCTCTCTGAACCTCAGTTTCCTTAACTGTAAAATAAGGACATTAATATTTATTTCATAGTGTTGTGAGGATGAAATGAGAAAATGCATATAATAGTACCTGGCCCATTTTTTTGTTTTAGTACCAAAAACCAAAAAGCCAAACCCACTGCTGTAGCGTGAATTCTGACTCATAATGACCCTGTATGAGAGAGTAGAACTGCCCCCGTAAGGTTTCCAAGGAGCAGCTGGTAGATTCGTACTGCTGACGTTTTGATTAGCAGCCAAGCTCTTAACCACTGTGCCACCAGGGATCCGCCTGGCCCATAGTAGACGCTAAACAAATGTTTATTTCCTTTTCCTAAAACATACCTCCACGAGAGCTATATGAATTTTTTCATTGCATTACAGTTTGGCTTAATTTTGAGTAGCTTGGATTTGCTTATAGCATTTTAAAAGTTTTGAGGCAATTATTTCATGTAGCTGTTTTGATTAATTTATGACCAATTCAATATTTACACATACATGCATACATACATATAACCAAAACAAACAAACAAATCCACTGCTGTTGAGTAGATTCTGACTCAGTGACCCTATGGAGCCCTGGTGGTGCAGTGGTTAAGAGCTCAGGCTGCGAACCAAAGGTCAGCAGTTTGAATCCACCAGCCGCTCCTTGGAACCCCTATGGGGCACTTCTACTCTGTCCTATAGTGTCACTATGAGTATG